AGCAAGGCCTTTTAGTCACACAAAAGGACACGCAACCTCACTTATAAATGCACGTTAAAACCATACTCACAATGCTGGCATCCCCATTCAGACTGCCAGTCCTGGCTCCTCTTTCTGATCTAGCTTCCTCCTGTGCACCTGGGGAGGCAGTGGAAGATGGCCCAAATGTTTTTGGAGCTCCAGATGGAGTTCCTGGCTCCTAGTTTCAGCTTGGCCCAGCCATGGCTGTCACAGTCATTTGGTAAGAGAATCAGCAGCTGAAAGGTCTCTCTCTGATTTTCTGTCTTTCAAATAAATAAATAAATCTTTAAAATGAATTTATTTTTTCTTTTCAGTTCCTCAGTACCTCAAAATTTGATAACACTGTTAAGACTGTAAAAAAAAAATGCTCTTAGTCAATGCACTCAAAATCACTTTGGGGATAAAAATTGATACAATTCTTAAGAGGGCAAGGTGGCAATAACTCTCACAAAATAAAAAATACATACAATCCTGGCCCAGCAGTTTCATTCCTGAGCATTTATTCTACAGGTATACATATGTACATGATCAAAACAACACATTTCGGGTCTGGTAGAGGATCTCTGGGGATGCCCTGTTAGGCTGCAGCACCCCTTGGCGTGTGCAGCATCCTTTGGCGTGTGCAGGCTAGGCTGGACTAGGCTGCAGCATCCACTGACACACACACTAACCAGCACTGGGGGCAGGACAGGCTGGACTAGGCTGCAGTACCTGGCAGCAAACATGAGAGCTGAGTCTGGGGACAAGCCAAACAAGGGTCCTCAGGGGTCTTCTCAGCTAGGCTGCAGAACACACCAGTATAAGAGCTGGGTCTGAGGGTGGGCTGGGCCAGGCAGCAGCACCTACAGGTGCACACAAGAGCTGAGTCTGGGAGAGGGACTATAAGAGATCCTCAGGGGCTGGCTTGCAGCATCCACACACCAGCACACTTGACAGCCAGTTTTGGGAGTGAGCCTGGAAGGGGTCTTTGGCGTCTCTTGATTATACCACAGCATCAGCTGGTACACGTGAGGGTCAGGTCTGGAGGCAGACCAAGCTGGGCCACAGCACTGGCATGTGTGGGGTTCAGGTCTGAGCACGAGCTTGGTTGGGGTTCTGGGAGGTGGTAATCCCAACCAGGCCGCATTACCTGCTGACACACAAGGCTGGGTCTGGGGGTAAGCTGGGTTGGGCTGCAGCAACTGCTGTCTCACGCAAGCAGGACTTAGGGACCAATTCAATAGGGAACTCTTTGGAGTTGGCCCGATGGTCCACTTCACTGGATTCCCAACCTCAAGGAATACCACACAGACGTCTGGTTTGGCCTCAAAGCACATGTTAGGAGACCAGGTTGCCCCTCTTGCTGACTCTGAGTAAGGAGAGACAACTTTCTGTCATGTACATGAAACACAGGACAGCCAGCCTCTCTGATTAAACAGGGAACGTTGAGAACCTCACCAAGAGATGGAAAGAAGAGCAGGCTAAACAACACTACAGGCCAAATCCTCCATCAAGCATCTAAGGCTATGGGACATCCCGAAACAGACATAGCCAGCAAGAATGAGAAGTGGTACCTCATGCCTGGCACCCGATGCCAACACCATGTCAGAACAACCAAGACTACTCAAATAACACCCTCAAGATATTCTTCCCCTCCTCTGGGTCCCTGGGCTGAAACCAGCGGACCAACTCTATCCCCTGGTCTGATGTGATCTGGCAGAGGAAACAGTACATCTCCCCCTCCCCCTGCAAAAGGGTGGGATCTTTCCCTCATCCACCTTGCCCCCACCTCACCCCTTTCCATCCCATCCAGAGACCTACACGGGTTTGCAATCCCTTTATTTAGGTAACGAACATTCAAATATAAATAAATTTAAATTAAAACACACACACACACACGCCCGGTTCTCCACTGTAGCACTGTTTGTGAAGTAAAAATTAGAAGTACATCAATAAGGTATAGTTAGAGAATCACACTCCAGCCACAGAGTGGAGTATTCTCTGTAAATAAAGATAAGGAACCAATATCAATAGAAAGAGGGATATGATACATAATTAAGTTAAAAAAAAAAAGAAACCAGCAGATTGCAGCACAATATATAATCAGAAACTGGGAGGATGAATAAAAACCTAGATCAGTGGTGCCAATTAGATATGAAATGAGCTCCAGGAGACAGCACAGTGACGGGAAGCAGACCTGACATGACACACTTAGTGTTTCTTGAGTTTTCAATCATACTAACATATTCAGAAATAAATTTTTTAAAGTTTGTCAAACAAGTGAGAAATTTTAACAATCAGTGTCACATTTAGCCAGCCCCAGGCTGCCATTCAAGATTAAAATATCTCGGGAGCTGGAATTTGATCCTGGAATGATCAAACTTCATTTCTTAAGTCGAGATCTACGCATTGCATGAGATCACACTGATTTTCTGTAGGACAAGTCAAGACCTTGCTTTTTTTTTTTTTTTTAATTAGGAGAGAGACAAAGAAAGGGAGACAAACCAGACACTTCCAAGTGGACAGCTCTTCTACTGCCACTGTCAGTCTGGTTAAGGGCTTGAACTTGGTGATGACGGCAGGGATGGAAAGGAAGGAACACATCCAAATATGTGAATGAGAACCAAACCCATGCTTTGCTGTCTGATTGGCTGAGGGAGGCTAGAGGGAAACAAAGAAATGATACGGCTGTTTAAAATGGAGGTGTCTGGTGGTGTTACTAAGATACACGGGAAACAGGAAGGAGGAATTGGTTCAGAGGAAAACCAATGACTTCAGTTCCAGGTAGATTGCATCTGAGGGAATGGGAACAAAAGGCTGCTGGGAACGCTGATGCAGAGTTCAGAGGGACACCGGACAAGACAAGAGATGCAGGAGACTACAATGAGGGACAATTAGCCCGTGAGCAGGGAACAAGGGCAAGCGTGAGAGTCAGGGGGAGCACTCAGGACTGTGCAGCAGGATGAGGAGGGAAAGCCCCACAGCGAGGAAATTCCAGTACCGCAGTATAGCCGGTTAAGTGGCTGCTTCTGACGCTGGCACCCCATATCAGAGTGCCAGGTCAAGTCCTGGCCGTTCTGCTTCTGACCTAGCTGCTTGTCAATACATCTGGGAAAGCTCCAGAAGATGGCCTGAGCACTTGGGTCCCTGCCGCCCCCATGGGAGTCTTGAGATGGAGTCCCTGGCTACTGCCTTCAGCCTGGCTATTAAGGATATTTGGACCATGATATTTGGAAAATGAACCGACAGATGAAAGATTTATACCTATCTCTCCCTCTTTGCCTGACACTTTGCCTTTCAAATACATAAATAAATCTTCAAATTAAATTAAATCGCAGGGGAATCAGGAGAGCCTAGTGAGAGGTGACCAAGGCCAGGAGTTTGAGAGGCACCGATAGCAGCAGCCACACACATTAGCTCCTTTGATCCTCACAGGCCACCAGCTCGCAGGGAGGCACTCTCAGATGACAGAAAAGGGTGTTGACCCTGACAGCAACTCCAAAGCTGACCCTGGGAGGTCAGAATCCTGAAGCTGGTTCTACCACTTGATCGGCAATGCAGCGTCCACGGGCAAGCAGGCCACCTTCTCCTCTGAGACCTCATTCCCTTCCTGCAAAGTGAAGTGGGTAGTGCCAAAGCTCTCCAGACACTTGGTCATACATGACTTTATTTTATGGTTGTATAAAGATGTGTTTATTTGTTTGAAAGTCAGAGTGAGAGAGAAGGAAAGACAGAGAGATCTTCCATTTTCTGGTTTACTACCCAGGGGCCCACTTGGCCAACATCGGAGCAGGTGAAAGCCAGGAGCCTCTCCCGGGTCTCCTGTGTCAATGGTAGGGGCCCAAGCACTGGGCTGTCTCCCACTGCTTTCCCTAGGCCATTAGCAGAAAGCTGGATCAGAAGTGGAGCAGCTGGGACATTAGATGCTGACATCTCAGATGGTAGCTCTACCCACTATACTACAACGCTATGCCTAATATGAATCATTCAGTGAAGGAAAACTGAGCCCACACTCAGAAAGATATACTTTTCTTTAAGAGATTAATCAAAATAAAGGGACCATTAAAAAAAAATTAGCAGTAACAACTTGGTGTGATGGCCTGGTGACTAAATCCTTGCTTTGCAACAGCTGGGATACCATATGGGTGCTGCTTCATATCCCATCTGCTTCTCTTCTTATCCAGCTCCCGGCTTGTGGCCTAGGAAAGCAGTAGAGGATGGCTCAAAGCCTTGGAACCCTGCACCTGTGTGGGAGACCTAGAGGAGACTCCTGGCTCCTGGCTTCAGACCAGCTCAACTCCGGCCACTATAGCTGCACGGGGAGTGAACCAGCAGATGGAAGAGCTTTCTCTCTGTCTCTCCTTTTCTCTGTATATCTGCCTTTCCAATAAAGATAAATAAATCTTTAAAAACATACATAGCTGGGCCCAGTGGCTTGGCCTAGTGGTTAAAGTCCTCACCTTGAACACGCCAGGATCCCATATGGGTGCCGGTTCTAATCCTGGCAGCTCCACTTCCTATTCAGCTCCCTGCTTGTGGCCTGGGAAAGCAGTCAAGGACGGCCCAAAGCCTTAGGACCCTGCACCCGTGTGGCAGACTTAGAAGAAGCTCCTGGTTCCCGGCTCTGGATCGGCGCAGCACCGGCCGTTGCAGTCACTTGGGGAGTGAATCACTGGATGGAAGATCTTCCTCTCTGTCTCTCCTGCTTTCTGTATATCTGACTTTGTAATGAAAATAAAACAAATCTTTCAAATATATATATATTTGAAATATATATATATTTGAATATATATATATTGTGTATATACATATATATATATATATACACACATAGCAATAAGTGAACAGGGACACCTGGCCTAGATAGGATTACTGTATGTTTTACAAGGACATGTTAAGCAATCCATCCATCTTCTGAGATATAAAATAAACAGTAACAAAATCCCACACTTTATTTAAAGGTACACAGGTAAAATGTCAAGAATTAAAATTCTTCATACCTGGAAACTGATGAATGATGTTCTTGAAACCCTCTTAACTTGACTGAGGGGAGTAAAAGAGGGAAGGTTCCAAGTGAGACAGGCTGTGTTTGGAAGACTGTCCTGCAGAAAAGGAAAATAGCTATTTTCAATGTGTTTTGTAGTAAGAAACATCTGCTAAGTACAATAAATATTTCTAAATAAATTACTTTGGCGGGGCAACATGCATCATGGTGTCCCGTTCAGATATGCCAATCCAAGTCCCACCTAGTCTACTTCCAATCCAGCTTACAGTCAACACACGTGAGAAAGGAGACAAAGACCCAGGGCTTGGGTCCCTGCCACCCATGGGGGCCCCGGATGCAATTCCAGTCTTCAGACTGGCTCAGCAACGCTGGCTAGTACGGCCATTAGAGCAGTGAATCAGCAGGTGGCAGATCTTGCTCTCTTCTCTTTGTTTCAAATAAATAAACAACTTAAGCAACATATCTTTTAAAGAATGCTTCAGGGCCTGGCGCAGTAGTCTATGGCCAAAGTCCTCATCTTGCATGCTCCTGGATCCCATATGGGCACCAGTTCATACCCTGGTTGCTCCACTTCCCTTCCAGTTCCCTGCCTGTGGCCTGGGAAAGCAGTTGAGGTCGGCCCAAAGCCTTGGGTCCCTGCACTGGCATGGAAGACCCGGAGAAGCTCCAGGCTCCTGGCTTCGGATCCGCACAGCACTGACTGTTGTGGTCACTTGGGGAGTGACTCATCAGATGGAAGATCTTTCTGTCTCTCCTTCTCTCTATAAATACAACTTTTCAATCAAAAAAAAAACTTAAAAAAAAAGTGTTAAAAATTAATTATAAGGGACCCAGAGCAAAGGACTAGTGGCTAAGTCCTCACCTTGTGAGAGCTGGCATCTCATACGGGCACCAGTTGGTATCCCAAGTGTTCTACTTCCCATCTAGCTCCCTGCTTTGTGGCCTAGTAGAGCAGTAGAGGATGGTTCAAACCTTGGGACACTGTGCATGCATGGGAGACCTGGAAGAGGCTCCTGGCTCTTGGCTTTGGATCAGCTCAGTTCTGGCTGTTGCAGCCACTAAAGGAAGTGCACCAGCAGAGGGAGGATCTTCCTCTCTCTCTCTCTCTTTGTAAATCTTTCCAGTAATAAATACATAAGTAAATAAATCTTTAAAAAATAAATTATTCTCTCTGATAGGCTGCAACTCCCACTGGTAAGCATGAGAACCAGGACTGGGGGCTGGCTGGCTGGCTGGACAGGTAGTGGCACCCACTGGCATGAGTGTGGGCTGGAGGGTGGAGTCAGTTGGGCTGAGTTAGGCTTCAATGGCCAGTGAAGTTTATGAGACCTCAATGGGATGTGGGGCAAATTGGACCAGTCCACTGCACATGCTGGCAGGCACAGGAACCAGAGCTGAGGGCTGTCCAATGGGGTAGCTGGGGGTCTGCCCTGGGGCTGAAGCTCCTAATGGTGTACATGAGGGCCAACTTTGCGTTGGGCAGGGTTGGGCTGCGCCACAGCACCCATTGGATTGCTGAAGATGGAGGGCAGAACTACCCCAGTGAAGCTTGACAGCAAATTTCTGGTCCAATGAAGACTCGGAGGTAGATTATGACGGCCACATCAACCCCAGAAGAATTTCTGCATCCTCAGAGTGGTGATATTAACAGCATCTCAGAACTACTAGAGACACATGAGCAGAACCCTTGGAAAATGCTCTACAGTGGGGACCCTGGGTAATGCTGTGGTTGGGAGGCTGGGCGTGGTTTCCCCTCTCCCCCATATACAGGAAGAAGCAAAAGTAAATGTGTAGCAATAATCTCACCCCACTATCCCCTGATCCTTGATCTTTCCCACCCTGATCAGCTATGTAAACATCATCAAAAATAAAATTTAAAAAACAACAAAAACTAACAAAATCTTTAAAAAGAAAAAAATTATATGGAGGCATTTATCAGGTATCATTTTTATACATTAAAGGTATTATTATCTGATACCAATTTTTATTATAATAAAAAATCATTGTTTTACAAGTCACAAATAGGAACCAGCACTGTGAGGCAGGTGAAACTGCCACCTGCAATACTGGCTTATGGGCACCAGATCAAGCACCAGCTGCCCCACTTCCAATCTCACTCCCTGCTACTGGGTATGGGAAAGCAGAAGTTAGTTCAAGTCCCTGGGCCTCTGACTCCAGCACGGAAGAGGAAGGTGGAGTTTCAGGTTCCTAGTTTTGGCAATCCTGGTCATTGCAACTATTTAGAGAGTGAACCAGCAGATGGAGAATCTGTCTCTCTGCCTCTTTCAAATAAATACTTTTATGTCAACTGTGTGGACAACATCAAAAACAAAAGTAAAAATAAATAATTTTTAAATGATACACAAAATATAACACATAAATAACATATACATAACATTTTTTACCTCAATTAGTATTCATGTCCAAAAGAAAAGATTTCAAATACAAACATGCATGACAGCAAATTAAAAGCAAGCCAACTTTTTACCTTTGACAATACAATAAACTTCCTCTGATAGCACACTAATCAAAGGCAGGCCAACAGGTATCTAAAATAGCTACAGAAGTCCAATCTGTGGGATTAGCACGAAGCCCATACAATGGGAGTGAGCACTTTGCCTAGCAGCTAAGACGTCTGCATTCCACACCGGTGTACCTGGGTTCAAGTCCAGCTCCAGCTCTGACTCTGGCTTCCCACCAATGGAGAGGCAGCAGTGCTAGTCCCAGGAATTAAGGCTCCCTCCTTCCACAGGGAAGACACCTGGCTGCTTCTGGCATTTGGAGAGTGAACCAGCAGATGGGAACTCTTTCTGTCTGTCCCCCACTGTCTCTCAAAAACAAAGCAAAGCAAAACAAAACAGGATGGACGATACGGCATCAAAGCAAGTTAACTCACACCTACCAATGCCCACATTCCATATCATAATTCAGATCTCCATAAATTTGCCTCTCCAATAAAAATGAAAGTTTTTCTAAAAATTGTAACAGCAATTAATATACATTCAAATTGTAAAAAATGATCAACATGCATCATGAATGCAGTGAATAATTAAATCAACAAATTAACATATTAATCGTGTCAAATATTTATCATTTTATGCAGTGAGAACACTTCATTTATTCCGAAACGTGCAATGCTCTATGAATAAATACACTATATATATCCTATATTAATGATTTCAAAAGGAAAGAACCAACAAAACACCCAATTCCTCCTGTCTAATGGAGCCTTTCTACCCTTGACCATCCCATCCCCTAGCCTACATTCTACCCCTTACCTCTATGACTTTGCTGGCCTTGGCTTCCACACAATGGGAGAACAGGCTGTGTTTGTCTCCCTGTGCCTGGCTTATCTCATTTAGTATACTGTTTCTCAGTTCCATCTATGCTGCAAATGACACAATTCCCTTCTTTTGAAAAGTTGATGGGGCTGGCACAGAAGTGCAGACTAATCCTTCATCCTGTGGTGGTGGCACCCCATAATAGAGCCACTTCATGTCCCAATCTAACTTTCTGCTTATGGCCTGGGAAAGCAGTGGAGGATGGCCCAAGTCCCTGGAACCCTGTACCCACCCAGAAGAAGCTGAGCTCCTGCCTTTTTCTTGAATTCTAATCTCTATAGGGGCAAGAACCAGGAATAAAGATTAAGATACATAGGCTTAGGGCTGGCACAATGGCCCAACTCCTAACCTTCCACCTCCGGATGTCGGCATCCCATATGCCTGCTGATTTATTATCCATGTTCCACCCAGTTTCCTGCTTATGGCCTAGGAAAGCAGTAGAAGATAGTTCAAAACCCTGGGACCCCCAAACCCACATGGGAAACCTGGAAGGAACTCCTGGTTTCAGATTGGCTCAAGCTCTGGCCATTGTGGCCATTTGAGAAGTGAACCAGCCGATGCAAGTATTTTCTCTCTGTGTTTCCTGCTCTCTGTACATCCTCTTAAAAAAAAAAATCTTTTAAAAATCTTTAAAAAAGAAAATAAAAAACTTCTGGGTAGTAAACAATGGAAAAAATAGCCATAGTGATATGAGTATTTAAAAAAATGCAATGTGGGGCCCGGCGCGGTGGCGCAAGTGGTTGAGTCCTCGCCTTGCACGCCCGGGATCCCATATGGGCACCGGTTCTAATCCCGGCAGCCCCGCTTCCCTTCCAGCTCCCTGCCTGTGGCCCGGGAAAGCAGTCGAGGACGGCCCAAAGCTTTGGGAACCTGCACCCGCATGGGAGACCCGGAAGAGGCTCCTGGCTTCGGATCGGCATAGTATCGGCCCGTTGCGCTCACTTGGGGAGTGAATCATCGGATGGAAGATCTTCCTCTCTGTCTCTCCTCTCTGTATATCCGCCTTTCCAATGAAAAAATAATAAAAATAAATCTTTAAAAAAAAAAAATGCAATGTGATTCCTTTTCACAATTGGTAAAGGTTATTTAAAAAAAAAAAAGGCATAGAGTTTCTATAGCTGAAAAGAATGGGCGAGATAAAAAGGAACTTTTTAAATAAAGGAACGAAAGCTAACTGAGAGCCAAAGGGTACAAAGGTGGGAGGCAGCAAACCTCTGTCAGTGATCAGACAGTTTTCAGTGCTACATTTAAAGCAAAGAATAGAACTGGCTATGAAAAGGAGTTTTAAGAAATACCAGTAATTAAAACAGCAGGATAGAATTTAGGAATAAACTAGGATTTTTGCCACTGAGGGAATAAAATGAATAGTCTTCAGGAGCCACTCATGGCCACATGAAGAGCTCATCTACCACCCACTGACTGAGATGGCTTCCCAGCTTCGCCAGGGCCACGCGCTATCTGACCACTGCGATCACCCGCACAGGGCCGAGCGGAAGGAAGTTCTGCGGCTTTTTATGAGAACTCATTTCCAGACTCAGTGTGCATCCTAAACTGTTTCTACTGACTGATGAAATATCGTTTTTCAGAGACAACCACCAAGTTCCACCCTGGGCAGACATTAAAGCAGATGTGTGGATTCATTCGGTGTCCTTCCCAACTTCCTTCTAGAAAACTAGCAAGCAGTCTGGACTCTTCCGGTTCCATTCCCCTATCAATGATTCCCAGAAGGCAAAAATGAGACGGAAACTGTTCTTCC